TACATACATAGAATATGGTGAAAAATAATGTGCATAAAACATTGTAAGTGGAAAGATTTAACACAATATAACAAAATATAAACTTAATTTTACATAGCTTACCACATAAGAATACACAACAATGTAAGCTGTGAAATACTATCTCATTCTTACTCAAATTCTCAAGAAAATAGGCTAATCTACCTATATCCCATCTAAACCATACCTTCCCAACCATTCCCTATTCCTGTCTAAAAGATAAACCCGAGTGTAAGCATCACCCAATCCCAAATAACTAAAACCAACCCAAAGACGATGACTATTTTTCTGGCCATGAGTCTTTTATCTGGTAAACAACAACATTGCTAAAATGAAAGCCACAGCTGTATTAGCTGCCGTCTATCAAAGATGATGGCAGGTACTTTTACTGACAGAACTGAGAGCTGTGCTCACTGCCTTGTCTACGCTGCGCTGTTTTGGAGATGTGGTGCTGCCATTGCCAGCTCTCATACACACCATTAAGTAGTTAGCAGAGCTCTTTAAAAGCCTTGCTGTTTTTGTTTTTGTTTTGTTTTTTGTCACTTATGCTGAGTCAGGAAATCTCCCTTAAAGGAGCCACCCAAATCTCTGCTTGTCTGGAGCAAAACAGAGCCCCACTAAGAAAAATGCTGTTACTAAGAAGCTTTGCTTGTCTCTGTTCTTTTGTTTCTAAAACCCTTTCTTAAGCTTTTGTTAAGTTTTAAGTGGAAGTTCTCGGGTCCATGTTGCTGGCACTATTATGTTATGATTATGTTTACCCGCCGGCCTGGACCCACAGCTGTGCCCTCCCCAAATAACACACAGAGACTTTGTATTAGACACAATTCTGTTAGCCTGTTACTAGCATTTCTTATCGACTAGCTCTGTCTTAAATATTAACCCATTTCTATTAATCTAAGTATTTCCACGTGATCTCATCTTACCGGAGAGAAGCCCGGGACCTCTGTTTTTTCAAGTCTCTACGTATTGACTCCTCCCTACTTCCTCGAATCCTCCTTGTCTCCTAGTCTCACCTATCTTGCTTTCTTATTGGCCAACAGTACTTTATTCATTAACCAATAAGAGAAACATTTACAGAATGACATCTCCCATCAACAACCAATCTTTTTAAAGGTAAAAAGGGGATTATGGTCTAGATATGAATACTTTGTTTTGGAATGGATTTTCATTTATTGATACAAATTTAAGGTTAATTTTGTGGTATGTATATTTCTATTGTTAGGTATTGTGTTTATATAGCTCATTTAGAAATGTAATGTATAATTTAGCACATATTATAGTTACCTAATATAGTCAAAACTTATAGTTAGGTGAGTTAGGTTTTCTAGATATACAGAAATGTATTTGAGATGGATATTCTTCAAACCTTTCAAAGACCTACAGAATATGGCATTTAAAATGGTTTAGGTTTTTTTTTTTTTTTTGACAATGAGACACAACTGCTCCTGGCAACACCACCTGTGTCAGAAAGGAAGATGGACATTAAAGAAACACTTTATGGAGTTTGCTTTTGATATGGTAAGACTAGCCATTTGGGCAAAATACTGCTCTTGTTTAGACTGTTTGACTTTATGCTGTATAAACTAGACATGCAGGACCCACAGGAAAGTGACTGCTGATACAAGATGGACATTGATACAGGGTTCCTGCTTCATGCCAGACAGGACACAGAGAAAAATGACTAACAAACTGCCAATACAGGTGGACAGTTTAAAGTTTCCTGCTTTGCTGAGGAGTCTGCCAGACACACTATGGCCTATAGGCTGAAGATGGAACCTTACAGAAGAACTTTGGATAACTGACCAGGCAGTGAGTTGTCTGTCACTTCTAAAATTTATATATTATCCTTCTGTGGTCTTTGAAGGACAGATAGTTATGGTTATAGTTTTCCTTAGTTAGGATTAAAGACAAGTTACATATAGGACTTTAGACTCACAAAGATAGGATATATTTTTTTTTAATCTTGCTAAATGTTAATGGACTGAACATTGTTAACTGTGGTTCTTATTTGATAACTGTTTTTGTTACATATTTTACTATGTTAAAGTTAAAAACCCTTCTTTTTATTTTAGATAGAAGAGAGGAGATGATGGGACACGTCATTCTGTAAATATGTTTCTCTTATTGCTTAATGAATAAAGCACTGTTGGCCAATAGGAAAGCAAGATAGGTGGGACTAGGAGACAAGGAGGTTTTGAGGAAGAAGTTGGAAGGAGAGTCAACATGTAGGACAGGGAGAGCAGAATGCCAGCCCCTCTCTCCAGTAAGATAAGACCACATGGAAATACTTAGAGTAATAGAAATGGGTTAGTATTTAAGACAGAGCTAGCCAATAAGAAATGCTAGTAACAGGCTAACAGCATTAAATCTAATACAGAGTCTATGTGTGTTATTTGGGGCTGGCACAGCTGTGGGACCAGGATGATGGGAAAACCTGCTCGTAACAAGATAGTGCTTTTGAGGATGAGAATGGGCTTGTAAGCAGGGTACAAGCTTCCCCTCCAAAACACTGGGCCACAAGACTCATGATCAGCCTCTCCCATATATGTGTATGGTGGCCTTTTTCTACACATGCTATTTGTTACAGATAGTCCAGATAGAGAAGAGCATGCAGCCCTCTGCCAACTGGCTTTTTGTATGTCATCCTGTTAAAGTGTATATGTCCATGAAGGCCAAAGGACAACCTCAATGCTTGTCTTCCACCTTGTTTGAGACCAGTTTGTTGTTTGTTTGTATAAAACACTGCTTTTGTGTTTGTGCTGCTGCCAGGCTTACCTTTGAGCTTCTAGAGATTCTCCTACCTGTCTTCCATATGACCTTAGGAGCATTAGAATTAGAGTTGAGTGCTACTACATCAAAATTTTATATGGGTTCTGGGGATTCAAACTCAGTCCTCACATTATAGTGAAAGTTTTCCCATTTGAGCTTCCAGGGGGATACTGAGACAGATTATCTTCTCAGCAAAGATATTTATTAGAAGAATTATTAACACACAGACATACAAGCAGCATCAGGTAAGGAGTTCTGAGTACAGATCCTATGGACATAGGTAGTCGGCCAGAGGGCATGGTAGGAACTTAGAATTCAGGTCAATGTGGCAGAGTAGGGAGGTTTTACTTGAATGTTTTATAGGGAGTGTTTCCATGACACAACATGGTTGAGTAGTCTACAGAAAGAGCTTGAAATCAGGCTGTCTCTTGATTCCCAGCTTGCATGACTTAGGGGAAGTGGGAAGGGGTCAATTTAATTAACATTGTTCCTTTCAAGAGCCAGCATAAAATAACTTGGTATGTACTAGCCTGGAGCCTGCATGCACAATTACTTATGAGGGTGAGGAGAGACACACTGGGAGACAGGCTTGATCTAAGATGGTCTGCAATCTAAGACTCAGCTAGTGTTTCCCCCACTGAGCCATCTCCTCAGCCTTCATATATACAATACTCATGTGATATTTTAATTGCATTTATTTACTTAGCAAGTGTCTAGCCATGGAGGCAAGAGAACAACCTGTAGGAGCTCGTTCTCTTCTTCCACAATGTGTCTTCTCAGGGATCAAACTCGTGTCACGGCAGGCTTGGCAGTAAGCATCTTTAGCCACTGGGCCATTTTGTTGGCCCCTAGTGTTGATCTTAATGCTGCTCTCCACAGGTTTTATCTTTTGGGGATAAGAGGGAGGGTGGCACAGGACCCATGTGTAGAGGTCAGAAGACAACTTACATGAGTTGGTTCTTGCTTTCCACTGTGTACCAGGAGTTGAACTAAGATCCTCAAGCTTGGCAACAAATGCCTTTACTGGCTGAGCCACATTGTTAGCTCCTCATCTGTTTATCCTAATGTAACACTTCTGTCTCTTCTCTCTCATTATCCCGGGTTCCATCTCAACAAACTTTAAATAAAATCGCATATGAAAAGCAGAAAGAGAGCTGGGTGTTGGTGGCACAGGCCTTAATCCCAGCACTCAGGAGGCAGAGATAGGAGGATCTCTGTGAGTTCAAGGCCAGACTGATCTACAGAGTTCAGGGCAGACTCCAAAGACACAGAGAAACTCTGTTTCGAAAAACCAAAACCCAAAAAAACCCAGAAGGGAAAAAAGTGCCACTCTAAAGCCTGGGAAAGTTACCTCCCCTATGGCGTATACTTACATAAATTGAGAAAGGACTACCTACCTCACCCAGCTGGTGTGGGGTGAAGAATCCTGCATTTTTTCCTAAGTGTGGAGCGCAGGTCCAGAACAAACACTGTCATTACAGGGTACTGCCACTGTCCTACCAACCCCTGCCCCGCTGAGGCTTCTGGGATCGTCGCGGGGTTGGTGGAGGCCGCGTCTTCAGTGCGCCTCAGGGCCTCGCTCGTGGGGGCTTACGCGGCGTTAGCATGGGCTGTACCTCAGTGTGTCCAGTGGTGGGCGCCAAGTCCGGGAGCAGTCTGGAGGCCACCTTCACCAGCGCAGAAAGTCTGCAGAGCTAGCTCAGCAGCACATGTACTTCCCGCGCTTCGCTCAGCGCCCACAGCGACTGCGCGGTCTGTGAAGGCGGGAAAGCTGAGGCGTCCTCCGCGCGCGTGCGCCCTCTGCTGGAGCCAACCGTCTTCCTGCACGCATGCGCACTTTCACCAAGCCGTCCCCACTCCGCAGATAGCGCGCGGAATTGTTGGGGTCCCTCCCGTCAAGGGCGGGGCGAAGCCACTGAAGGGTTGGGGGGTGAGGAGGCGCGGCCAATCGTAGCCACACCCACCGCTCGCCATTTGAAGTCCCCCACTCCGACTCTCCACCACTAGCCAATCACAAATCTCCCTAGTCCAAGGGTCAGCCAATGAGCTGTGCGGCCCGGCGGCTTCCGGCTCTGCGCCGGATTCGCCTCTTGCCCCTGGGCTCCCTGCGACGGGCGGGGCTCTGGAGGGCGGGCGTCAGCCTTGGTGACGCGCGGCGGGCCGAGGTCCAATAGGGGGCGGGATCTGCGATGATGGACGGGTCTAGCGACCAGTAGCGAGGCGCCGGCCGTACTTCCCGTCGGGGAGAGAGTGTAATATGGCGAAGACCTACGATTACCTGTTCAAGCTGCTGCTGATCGGGGACTCGGGGGTGGGGAAGACCTGTGTCCTGTTCCGCTTCTCCGAGGACGCCTTCAACTCCACGTTCATCTCCACCATAGGTAGCGGGGCCTTGGGGTGGCCGGGGCTGGGCGCGCCCCTGTAGGGCTGGGCTGAGGGATCGAGTCAGTATCCATCCGGGCCGAGGATCCGGGAGGGTCGCGGGGTCTGGCGGAGAACCTCAGCGGCCTCCACCTCCCCGAGGGGAGCCCGGGCGGTGGCGGAACGCCGGGGAACGAGGTGCAGACGGAACACTCAGGCTGCTGTCTGAGGGAGAGCCTGCCCTGGGCTGGGGTCCTAGCGCCTGTCAACTCTCTGTCCTCACAGCAGCCCTCGAGACTGTAATTTTGGGAGAGATCCCCGTCCTATAAAAGAGGAAACTGAGGCATGGAAATGACACCTGACCTCGTGCATCATTTCCTATGTGGCAGGCTCGGCCTGTGCAGTATCAAACACTGAAGTGTTCTCGTGTTGGGTGCCGTGTCGCTGGGGGAGGAATTTGAAACTGAGGGTGTGGCACGCACTGAAGGTCGCAGTCTACATGTGTCAGGGATGAGATTTGAACCCATGTGTGTCTGACCCCCAAATTCAAGACTTAGCTGTCCAAGAGAGGTGAGCCACCACCGTCAATTCACCTTTAAGTCAGGACTCCAACCCAAAGTCCTCCTGCCTTCTGCCCGAGGAGTGGTGCTAGCACCTGTCATCCTGGTGGGTATATGAGAAAAAAGTTCCAATGAGAAACTAAGATCAGCCATGGATACGTGCAGCCTTGACTTCCCTATCCCGGTCGCAAGACACCACCTATCACTTTCTGAACAGCTTTCCTCCAGGGCTGCCTCACGGTGTAGTTGAAAAGAATTGGCTTGTGATTGGCAAAGTTCTGATGTCAAAAATGGCAGACGTTGATCCTTACCTTGATAGTTATGGCCCTAATTGAGACAGCTGGACCTGGAAGTAACTCTGTCAAACAGAGTGATCTGTGTGCTGTTTGGCCCTGGAACGAGAGACTGGTCCCTAGACCTGATTTATCCCAAGCCAAGCTGTTGTTCAATTGTTGCATCCCTGGGTTCTATCCCCAGTGCCCTGAAGCCAGATGTGCTGGCAAACAGCTGTAATGACAGCACTTGGAAAATGGAGGCAGGAGGATCAGGAGTTCAGGGTCATCCTTGGTTACACTGTTCAAGGCCAGGTTGAGCTACACGAGACCTGTCTTGGAAAGAAAAAGGAAAACTTAGGGAATGATTTCTGTGTAATGCCAACTAAGCCATACTGTCTCCCTGACCAGACCGTTGTGTGCTAATGTCATCTAAGCTCTCCATCCTAGTGGGCACGCAAAACAGTCAAGTGGCAGGTGTCAAGTCCAGAAAATTATACCTGGACTCCAGGTGCTGTCCATCCTTGAACAAGCTCTACCCTGTCTGATCTGAGTTGGTTTAGAGTAGATGTGGCACTGTCTGGTGGTGGAGGATTAAATCTATACAACAAGTGAAGAGGTCCATCTGGGGAAGCAGAGAGTTTAGACACTCCTGGACACGGGTGCATCTGCAGCTTCTCCCCTCCCCCACCCAAACATCCAGCTTTGGAGTCACCCTTAGGTGAGGGAGGACCAAGTGGAAATGACAGTAGCTGCCCACAGGCTCTGGCTTGCTCTCAACGCCGACCTCAGTTTTCCAGCCTCAGACACTTCCTAGTCACCAACATATTAGTTCAGGGTGGTGTTTGTTTGCTTGCTTGCTTTGTAGTGTGTGTGCTCATGCATACCCATGCATGTGTGTGAGTGCAGGAGGGTTAGAGGTTCTTCAGTCACTCTCCACTTGCTGCACTTGCTGCTGCTGGTTCTTTTTTTTTTTTTTTTTTTTTTTTTAATTTATTTATTATTTTATTGGGAGGGTACAGGCATGCTGGTGAACATGTGGGAGTCAGAGGACAATTTGTGGGAAGCTGTTCTTTCCTACCATGTGGGTCCTGGGGACTGATCTCACGATGCCAGGCTTGTGGGCAAGTATCCTTACCCACCAAGCCATCTTTGCTGAGTCTCTCACTGAATCTGGAGCTCAGCAAGTGGCTAGACTGGCTGTCCAGCTAGCCCCAGGACCCTTCTTTCTCTGTGTCACCAGCACTGGGATTGTAAGTTGACACCACCATGCCCAGTTACTTTTACATGGGTGCTAGGGATCAAACATGTCCCTAGCCCTTTGTTTGTTTGTATGTTTGTTTGTTTGAAATAGGCTGGCCTAGAATTCACTGTGTAAACCATGCTGTCCTAGAACTCATGAAAATCTGCCTGCTCTTGTTTCCCAAACGCTGGGGTTACAGCCTCCCTGCTCCACTGGTTTTGTTACATTTATTTAGTGTGTGTGCACATATGCCTAAGTCAGGAGACAATTTGTGGGAGTTAGTTTTTTCCTTCCACCAAGTGGACCCCAGGAATTGAACTCAAATCATCAGGGTTGGTGGCAAGCAACTTTACCCAATGAGCTTTCTCGTAGGCCTGTAATATGTATTTTACATCTCAAGTGTGTTTTATTTAGTTTTTCTTTTTTGAAGTACTGGATATGGAGCCCAGGTTAGCCACATGTCTGACCACTGACATCTGGATGGTTTGACACTCTTGATCAGAAAACCAACTTAGAGATGGCCCTCCTAACAGTGAGGTGTGAAGGTAGCACTTGAACCAGGATCTCTTCCCTCCCCAAAGCATCATTTTCCTACAGACCTCTGTCTTCTAGGAAAGTTAATCTCCTTGACCTTAAAATTATAGCCTCATAATTCTGGGGCCTCATAAAGTTTACAGTTCCTAATTCAATTCATATGTTAATAGAAACTAGGAGAGCTCTAGACCAAAGCAGGATTCATGGCCAGGGCTGGTTACACAGTGACCCTGGACTTTTGTGTGTCACTAGGCATTTGTGACACACTGGGAAATGTCTCTGGGAGAGTCTGCCCTGGCTGCTTAGTCCTAAAATTATGTAGGAAGGTGCATCTGTAACAGCAGCCAGCTGTTGTCACTGTGTTCATTAATGATCAGGATTGAGTGCTGTGTGCTTTCTGGAAGCTGTGGCCCTGTGGTAGACTCTTTTCCAGAGCTGTATGCAGTGTTTGTGGTGTGACCCTGGCCCTGCAGCTCCCAAAGTCAGTTCTCAAGCCAGGCTCAGAGCCCAGCCACTCCCTCAGGCCCGCTCATTGTTTCAGCAGACACTGTAGCCATCTTTCTGTTATTTAAGATGGGGCCTTGTGTAGCCCAGGCTGGCCTGAAATCCCTATGTAGCTGAAGATAACCTTAAACTCCTAATCCCCCTGCCTCCATTTTCAGAGTTCTGGGATTGCTGGGACATACCAGCATACCCAGTATTTTGGGAGTAGAGCCCAGGACACTAGGTAAGCAGTCTATCAAGTGAGCCCCAGTCACAGTCTGTTTTTTAAAATTTTGACATTTTTTTGTGTGTGGGTGGGTGTTCCTGCCATAGTGCATATGTGGAGGTCAGAGGACAGCTGGGAGTTAGTTTTCTCCCTCCATCATGTTCAGTCCTGGGTCAAACTCAGGCTATGCTGCAAGTGTTTTACCCACTGAGTCATCTCACTATGTGTGTGTGTGTGTGTGTGTGTGTGTGTGTGTGTGTGTGTGTGTGTGTGTTTTGCCTAGGCTGCCCTAAGACTCTTGGGCTTAATCTTTCCTCATACCTTAGCCTCCCAAGTAGCCTCAAACTTATTTGTAGCCACAGCTGGCCTTCAGCTCCTCACCTCCTTCTTCCACCTGCAAATCCTGGGATGATAGGTGTATACCACAACCTCTGGTTTTTGTGGTGCTAAGGTTGGAACTGAGGCCTGTGCACAGGCTAGACAAGTCTTCTGCCTACTGAACCACAGCCCCAGCCCTACACCCATAACTTTAAAAGTTTTAAAATAACATTTATAGTGGCCAATGTGTGGCGGTCAAAGGACAGTTTATAGGGGTTGGTTCTCTACTTTCACCATGTGGACTATAGGGATAGAACTCAAGTCATTGAGCTTATTGGCATCTTTACCTACTGCCATTTGCCAGCTTGGACAGTGGGTAGTCTGTGTCTCCTCCAAACAGGACTGGAAATCTACAGAGGACCCAGGCATGATGCTTGTAATCCCAGCATTAGGAAGGCTGAGGCAGGAGAATCACTGTGAGTTTCCAGGTCAGCCTGTGCTGCAGGGTCTGCTGTGGTGCTGCCCTCTGAGTGTAAGAGCCACCTCCTGCCTCCCTTCCTCCCTCCCTCCCTCCCTCCCTCCTTTACCCTCCTCTCGGATGGGGACTCTCTATGCAGCCCTGGCTAGTCTCAGATTCACAGCTGGCTACCATCTTAGTAGAGCCCTGATAACTGGACTGTTGACCTTCACTGAAGGTGGAATGAGGCAGCTTAGCAGACCTTTACCTATGCTGTCTGCTTCTGTCTCCGATGGATGAAGTACATAATGTGTGAGGCTAAGAGTGGACTCTATCCTTGTCACAGTGGAGGTCTGTCTTGCAGCTTTCAGTGACCCCCTTACCCATGCATCTGAACCAAGCCCACACGGTTCACCCAGCTGGGCTTAGGTGGAATTGTTCCTTCGGTCTCTTGTTAGACTTAAATAGAGGCCTATTCAGATCTCCAGGAAAGTTCATAAAACAGTGAGGTCCTGTCTTTTAAAAAAAAAAAAAATGTAGGTCAATGAGATGGCTCAGCAGATAAAGACCCTTGTAGCCAATCCTGACAACCTGAGTTCAATTCCTGGGACCCACATGGTGGAAGAAGAAAGCTGCCTCCTGAAGTGCATCATCCTCACCTCACAAAACTATATATATGTAAACCAAGTGTCATAGTATGAAAAAGATTTGAATATCATCAGGCAGAGGGTCCTAAGACATCTCTCTTGCTTGCCATGGGATAGTTGTTTATGGTGTGTTTAGTACTGGAGTGGTAATGGTGGAGGAAGACCTCACAAAGCCATTTTGAACAACTTGAGCAGGAGAAGGGCACCAGATGACTGTGGAAGCAAAGAACATTCCAGAAGAGAGAAGAGCAAGCGTGAAAGCCCCTAGGACACTTAGGATGTGTAGGGGACTGGCATAGATACACAGTGTCATAGTCATTGTTGTACTGCTTGCTGTGAGGCGACACCATGGCCTTGACACTCTTATATAGAAAAACATGTAATTGGGGCCTGCTTACAGTTTTAGAGGGTTACTGTATTATCATTATGGTAGAAAGCATGGCGGCATGCAGGCACTGAAGTAGTAGCTGAGAGATACACCCTGACCCACAGGCAACAGAGAGAGAGACAGCTTTTAAAACATCACAGCCCACCCCAGTGACATATCTCTTCCAAGGCCACGCCTCCAATTTTTTTAGTCCACTTAAACAGTTTCATTCTTTGGTGAGCAAGCATTTAATACATGAACCAATGAAGGCCAATGACATGTGGGTTCCAGACATCAAACCCAGTCATGAGGATTGGCAGCAAGTCCATTTATCTCCTGAGTCATCTTGCCAACCTTTAATTTGGAGAGAGAGAGAGAGAGAGAGAGAGAGAGAGAGAGAGAGAGAGAGAGAGAGAGAACGGAAAAAGAGAAAGAAAGGAAAAAGACAAAGAAAGGAAGGAAGGAAGAAAGGAAGGAAAGGAAAAAGAACTATCATAACTGACATCTCATTGATCCATCCATTTAAAGCTTACAGCTCAGTACCTTTTGGTATGTTTTGAGTTGCACATTCATCACCATAATACATTTCAGAATGTCTCCTTGTGCCAAAAAGAAACACCAGCACCTTCATGCCCCTCAGCCCTTTATCTTCCCCACATCCTGCCCTGGCAACCTCAGGCACAGTTCTAGTCTCTAGATTTGCCTGCTGTGTTAGCCTGATCACTCCATATGTGGCCTTCCTTCCTCTCTGGCTCCTCTCGCTCAACATTATGTATTTGAGGCATCTCCACAATGTTTCTACCATGTGAGTCCTTCATTCGGTTCAAAGACAGAGCAGTATCCCACCAAAGAGATGGCCTGTTGCTGGTCTTTCTGCTTGTTTCTGAGCCCAGTGGAAGGTCAGGGCTGAGGCCAGCTGTGGACATACTTACACTTAGGATTGTTTTGGGGTTTTGTTGATCTTGAGACCTGTGCAATGGCTAGGGAGAGAGGATATGGCCCATTTGCAGCTCAGTGCACTGTGGGGTAATAGACTAGCTGCTGGATGTTTTGTAGTGCAGGATCTGGCCTGTAGATGCCCACTGTAAGGCTGGACCATGGTGGCAGGAAGAGTTGGCTAGTGTGAGATGGGTCTGCCCACCTCCCAACACCTATCAGCTTCCTTCCATCTTCCTTAGACCCCCCTACAGTCTCAGGCTCTGATTCTAGCAGAGGAGGGTCTTTCCAGAAGCTTTCAGTCTTGTTGGGGTAGAGATGACCCGAAACCCAGCTGCTGCTCCATAAGCCACAGCACCTGTCACCAGCCTAGGCTGGCAACTTGGGAAGTGACCTGACCTTAATAACACCTTTTATTCTTCCTTTTCTTTCAGGAATTGACTTTAAAATTAGGACCATAGAGCTTGATGGCAAGAGGATTAAACTGCAGATATGGTGAGTGCTGTTGCCTTGTGCAGCCTTGCAATGTGACCCTTCATTGGGCTCCATACTTGGAGCAGAGCTGTTGGTGCCCCCTCCCCACACATACTGTCTTTATCTTATTTATTTGAGGCTGTGTCTCTCTATTCAGCCCTAACTGTCCTAGAACTCACTGTGTATGTAGACTGGGCTGGCCTCAAACTCACAGAGATCTGCTTGCCTCTGCCACCTGAGTGTTGGGACTGAAAGGGTTCACACCACACCCAGCTCCAGGATGACTTTGAATTCCTGATCCTCTTGCCTCCCCTTCCTGAGTGCTGAGATGACTGGTTCTATGTCACAGCTCCTGGATTTTACACTGATGGGAGTGAACCCAGAGCCCCGTGCATGCTAGACAAACAATCTACCAATTGAGCAAAATTCCTTGGTTCCAAGCCCTGGCACGCAGTTTTCCTCAGAAGGTACCAGAGTTTCATACCCAGCTGAGGCAGCCATGCTCTGCTGGCCATTGGAGCCTAGTGGTTGTGTGAAGGGACATAACCTGTCTAGTGAGTTCAGTGTCCCAGGGTGCACAAGGTTTGCGTTGAATCTGGAGGAAGCCCTCTATGCCAGGAGGTAGCCAAGACAGCAGAGTCAGGGAAAATACTTCCAGAAACTTTCAAATGTGGGAATTGAGAGGATCCTGAAGGCCCAGGGCTCAGAAGATAGGCCATAAGTCACAGCTCCTGTCACTAGCTCTGTTTGGTGGTTCTGACTTCCCAAGGGTCTTGGGGGATAGGCAGAGGTGGAGTACAGGACACCTGGGCTGTAAATTTCCTTTCTCTTTTGCTATGAGAGAGTCCCACCATGTAGCCCAAGCTAGCCTAGAACTTCAGTCTTTAGCCTCAGGTTCCCAGGTCCCGGGATGACAAGTGTACGCCACCACACCCAGCTGGGAGTTTCCTTCCAAGCCCACGGCCTCACCCCAAATTTTAAAGGCTTCATACCACTTCCTGTTTTCTCCCCTGATGAGAGAGCCCAGGCCTCACTTCCTGGTGTGTGGACCTGAAACCCACAAATAACCTTAAAGCTAAGGCCAGGCCTAGAGGCCATGAATATCCTTAGCCCTGAGGGTGGCTTCACCACCAAAGTCAGTCAGGGAAGTGTGAGCATGTAGGTCCCCAACACTGGTGTGGACTTGAGTAGCCCAGCATTCTGGGAGGCCGAATCCAGCCAATCTTGGGCAAACAGACCCAAAGAGCATGCTACAGTGGGACCTGTGGCATACATCTGTCATCCTAGTCCTCATGGGGTGGACGGGAGGGTCACAGCAAGTTCTAGGCCAATCTGTACTGCATAGTGCAAACCTGTGTCAGAACCAAACAGAAGGGTGTGCTCAAATGCCCACCAGCCTGGCACCCCTGGGTAAAAGCACAGAGCCTGGGTGCCCCTCCCCCATGGCATGGTCAGTTCTCTTTAATCTCAGCATGAGCCATCACCCAGATTGCCAATATCCCTGGGGGAGCCAACTGGGTGCCCTTGTCTCTAGCTAGTCAGCACCCCACAGTCTGACTTCAGACCTTGAACCTGGATAAGGGAGAATCCTTGTCTGTCCTCAGGGTTTGGTCATCAGTTGTGGCCACATGGTAAGTGGACCCATAGAAGTTCTCCACTTCCAATTGGTTGGCCATGCAGCAGCCTTTGTGCCCAAGTCCAAAGTGACACAGTTCCAGCAAGCCAGGCCACCTGCCATGACTCCTCCCTTTCCACCTCACCCCTCAGCATTCTTAGCCAAGGGGAGAGTCACTGGAAAGCTGGCCTGGGCTGCAACTGGCATTCTTCACCATGTATGTCCCCTGCAGGTGCCACCAGCACGTCATCTCAGAACTACAAATAATAAAATGAGAGCTTTCAGATTCAGTGACAGAGCATTGCCTTAGCACACACTGGTCACTGAATGGCTCAGCAGGTAAAAGGTGCTTTCTGCCAAGTCTGATGACCTGAGTTCAATCCTCAGGACCCACACTGTAGTAGGAGAGAACCAACACCTGCTTGTGCTGTGACCTCACAAACAAATAAGAAAACATTAAAGGCAAGAGGTAGAACACAGACTCAGCACTAGACATTTCTGTGTAATTCAGATGGCCAGAGCCCTCAGGAGGAACCATGGGCTCAGGGATGAAAAAAAACATTTCCCTGACTAGATCACTTTTCCTCCCAGACCTCGTTTGTATTAGACAAACACTGTACCACCAGGCACACCCTGTCCCTTTTCTATTCTGTGACAGTGTCTCACTGTGTATCCCAGGCTGGCCTGGAATTCACAGTCCCCTGCTAGACCTCCCCAGTGCCAGGGGAACAGGCAAGTATGTAACTATGTAAGGCACCTGTTTGTAAACCACACATCACACACCCCAGGTACCCACCATGTTCTTCCCAACAGCCTCAGCATCAACTGCAGGGACCCTAAAATAATACTAGAAGCTAAGGCATGGAAGGGCAGAGGGGGACACAATATAGGGGACTTGGAAAGTCCTCCGCCTGTCACTCCACAGTCCCCTTCTGTGTCATAGGAATAGTCCTGCTTCCTGAGCAGGAGAGACTCAAAGGAGAGATCCAGCAGGCCATAGATATCACTAATATTCTTCATTCTTTCTAGGGACACAGCTGGCCAGGAGCGGTTTCGGACGATCACAACAGCCTACTACAGGGGTGCCATGGTACTGACTTTGTTCTTGTTTCTGTTGCTTTTGAAGTGTAAACAACCATCAGTAGGTGGCAGTAAGAAGGCCTGTGTGATTGACTTTTGTTTTGTTTTATCTTGTTGAAATAGTCCCAAATGTAGCCTGGGCTGGCCTAGGAACAAAATCCTCCTGCCTTAACTTCCCAAGTGCTGGGATAATAGGTGTATACCACTGAACCCAACTTGTTTTATGTGTTCTAAAAGAGTGGTGTGTGTGTGTGTGTGTGTGTGTGTGTGTGTGTGTGTGTGTGTGTGTGTGTGTGTGTGTGTTCATGTGGGTGCACATGCATGTGTGTATATGAGTGTGGAAGTGTGGAGGTCAGAAATCAGGTCATCCTCCAGCATTGTTCCTTGATTGCTCTGACTTGGAACTTGCCAGGTAGACCAGGCTAGCTGTTGATGAGCCCCAGGGATCAGCCTGTGTCCACCTCCCCAGTGCAGGGATTGCAGTACAATGCAGCATGATGCAGGTTTTAGGATCAAACTCGGGCTCATGTGGTAAGCACTTTATGGACAGCCTCCTTTTTGGTTTGCTTTTTAGACAAGACTTTCTTTGCACCAGGCTAGCCTGAAACTCACAATTCTCCTGCCTTAGCCTCCCTAGGCTAGAATATCACAGGTGTATGCCACCACACCTGGCCAAGTCTTATGTCTTGAGGAGCCTGTGTTCCAACTCCTCAGGCAACCCAGGACTCAAACTGGCTTTAGAGAGGTCATTGTGCCCTAACCAGCTCCCACAACATCATCTTCTCATCCATCACACGTTCCCAGGCCTCAGAGCCAGTGCAAGGCTTAAATGGTGAACATATCTCGTGTTGAAGGACGAAGGAGCACCAGGAAGCCCATCCTTCAAGGGAGAACAAACCCTGGCTGGCCTCTCAATACTGAGAAAGGCCACATGGGCCACATCAGTGTCTCTGGAATTTGCTATAACTTAAAGGCCGGATTTATTTGGAATTATCATTATCCCATCTTCCACCTGGGCCTGTAGCCAGATGACATGTCAGCAAACTCACCCCCACAGATTTCCCCCATGGAGATGAGGGAGGCAGTGACCTGGTCCTGCTCTTGTGAGACTATGTAAAACAGAGCATCAAGGGACAAAGGGGGGAAGGAGGAGCAACCCCAGCCCTGCCCAGAACCCTGGGTCACACTCCCAGCTTTGTCTCTTCTCTGAGAAAGTAGAGCATGTCCCCAGGCTGCTATGAAAACAAATGGCCAACTTTTCAGAGTCCCATTCTCCCTATCACCCTGTACCTTCCATAGCTCAACCTGTCATTTAGAACCATAGACCTCAGTTCCTCCCCCTAGGCTGTCCACAGTGTGAGGACAGTGTGCGTCTCAGTCCCTGTGCAGGCCTGATGCCTGAGAATTCATGAGGACACCTGAGGAGCCTGGGAGCAAAAGACATGAATGACAACATTAAATTAAGTATTTAGAGGAAGTGCAGCCAACATTGGAAACTCAGTTCCATGCCCTGAAACATTAGTACCCTCGTTAAAATTAATCCTGTTTTGCCCCTTGAGGGTACTGGGGCCTGAGTTCGTCACCCTGAGCCCCTCACTGCCCTCCTACTCCACCACCACCCCCAGCACCCTTGGTCTTAGTCTGGTATCTCCTTGGATCATGGCTGTGTCCTGAGTACAGGTATGGACATGAGCGCTGCTCTGCAGCCAAGACCCCAAGACTTGCCCTGCACCAGCACCAAGATGGTGGCAGTCTCCTTCAGTGTTGTTTTGTTGAAGCACGTTCTTGCCAAGTAGCCTAGGCTGGCCTTGAACTTCTGATTCTCCTGCCTCAGCCTACCATGTCTGGTTCACAAAGTACCATGATGGAAGCCAGGGCTTCATGCACTCTAGGCAAATGCTCTACCACCTAAGCTATATTCCCAGCCCAAGTTTTTGTTTTGTTGTTGTTTTGAGACAGGGTATCACTGTGCAGCCTAGCTTGGTTTTGAACTCACAGAGATCCACCTGACCCAGCTCCTGAGTGATGGTATGAAAGGCATTCATCACCATCCCTGAGCCAGTTTTTCTCATGGCACTGTCTCTGTACCTCAGACTTGTGGTACACCTCTGCTTCAGCTTCCTGAGCGCTGAATTACAGGCAATAGCAGCTCCTGTTACTTTGTGTTTATTATCATTTCATGCTGAGAGTGGAACCCAGACCCTCACAGCCTGCCATTGTGCTATGCCCTGGCTGATTGCTCCTCTTCCTTGGCAAATGTGAGTAGTGTTCTACACAGGACTGTACTCACTAGCCAATGCCTGAGGAGAGGAGCAAGCAGGGCCTTGGCTGGAGCCAACTATGGGCCTTAAAACTTGGTCCTATGTGGGCCTTGTGATAGTGGAATGGAAGCTGGGCTATTGTAGGCAACACATAAATAAACCCAGGACAGTACCAGATTATCAGAGGGTGGTTGCTCTTTTTCACACATCTGTTCTGGAACCCAGGCTGGTCTCAAACTTGCAGGAGTCCTCCTGCCTCAGCCTCCTGAGTGTTAGGATTTCAGGTGTGTGAACCAGCACACAGGTGTCCTGGACTTCAGTCTTAATCAAAAAAATCTCATCTCCCTATGCCTCAGTTTCTCCTCTACAGTGACAGTGAGGCAGTCTGCTCGGGCTGGCTGAGGCTGCTTTCTGGATCTCTTGGGACCTGTGCACCTTATCAGGTGTCCCCTCAAAACCATTAGGGATCTGACTAGACCACTTACCCTGGGATGCTGACCCCCACCAAGGGCAGGGCCTGAGGCCCCAGCCTCAGGTTTCTGCCTGCTGTAAGTCTGGCACGTCACAGGTATGCTGTCAGGTATCGAAAGAGGTGCTGGCTCAGTCTGGAGGCCACTGGAGAGTTCAGGCCCACGTTTCTGCTGGCACAGCAGGTCTAGCTTGGGAGTCACCATGAAGGTAGGGAAGCTGACCGGCTGGGCTGAGACAGTGGCCACAGCCATTCCTGATGGGTGCTCACCCCATGGGGTGTCTCAAAGCCCATTTTGTTTCTCTTTCCTCACCCAGGGTATCATGCTGGTCTATGACATCACCAATGAAAAATCCTTTGACAACATCCGGAATTGGATTCGAAACATTGAAGAGGTGAGGGCACCTTTTTGCTTCTTCTCCTAAGGTTATATCTCAGAGTCAGGAGCGTGGAGTACAGGCAGAAAGTGGGGAATGGAACCAAAACACCTGCCCTCTGCCCAAACTTGCCATTGTCCCAGGACCCATATAGTAGTGTTTGGCTGATCTTGCAATTATCACTGTTTGGGGCCACATGAGCATTTGGCTCTTTATAGAGAGAGAATGTTCTAGAGCAGCCAAGACATGTAATTTGGATGGTGTGTTACAAACATTTTGAGCTGCAGCTGCAGAGTGTAAGCCTGTCCAAGCCCATATTCAGGTCAACAGCTAGTCATAAAAAGAGACCCAAAACTGTGAAGAGACAAGGAGGCAGCCAGCCCAGCCTCCCCTCCCAAAGCTAACTTTGTCCTCTGACCAGTTGCCACACCCCTTACCCTTCCTAGCCAGCTCCACCTGTGGCCATGATGACTAAGCAGGTAAGGCATTGGGTCTAGGATGTCAAGAACTTTACCCATCTATAAAGCCACAAAGGAGCACATGTCACTGTGGACCCAGGACTGGTAGACGCCCAAGCCAGGCTAAGAAGCAGACCCTTTGTTTATGAGCAGTTGTTTTGGGCTTGCTCTGGCTATAGATGCCATTTTGGTCAAAAGAGGAGTCCTGAATTTAGCTTGGGACATCCTAAATGGGGTCCTCTGGTGGACAGGAGGTGTGGCAGAGAGTGGAAAAGTGTTCCCTGACAGCAGAGTTGATGTCCCTTCTGCAGGGGACAACTGGAGGACTGACAAGGGAACTGTTTCTAGGAGAGAGGTCAGAGCTGGGCCAAGCCTTTGTGCTCGTGAAGAACTTAGCTTGAAGTTTTGGCTGTTCTAGGCACAGCCTTGTTTCCAGAACCTAGAGAAAGAAGGTTCTAAAAAGGTCCAAGCAGGCATTGAGGCTTCAGCTGGCAAGTTGCTCAATGGGTAAAGGCACTTGCCAGCAACCCTGACATCCCGAGTTCAAGTCCCAGAACCCATGGAAAGAGACAGCGGACTTCACGTAGTGTTCTGCATGGTGTGCTGCATGTGCATGTACCATGGTGTGTGCATGCTAATGCACACACAGAGACTAACACAGAACAGTGGAGTGGGTGTGGATAAGGTCTCAGCATCGGTTCTGGGAGCCCTGGCCCTGACAACCATGGCCCATAGAAACTGTTTACAGTTAAGCAGAGTTCAACAACTGGGAGCATGGGCTGTCAGCCCCTGACGCTTTAATCCTGATCACCCTGTTCTCCTCAGCATGCCTCTGCAGATGTGGAGAAGATGATACTGGGGAATAAGTGTGACGTGAATGACAAGAGACAGGTGTCCAAGGAGCGAGGAGAAAAGGTAGGTGCCAGAGCCAGTCCCACCCCAGGGGGACCCATGTGCCCCTTCATAGTCTTTTGAGCAGAGGATGACATGCCATGCCTGGGGATGGAGGAGAGAGCCAGGCAGGGCTGGATGGCAGAAGCTGCTCATGCCTAGCAACAAGAACTTAGCCGTGAGCTCCAGGCATGTCCCCAGGACCCACCAAGGCCAGCCACAGCGCCACAGCAAGGAACAGCTGGGGCATGCTGCCTCTCCCTCCTCTACTCTGCTCCCTCCCTACTTGGTGCAGTACTATCACAGTGAAAGTGATACCCTGTCCAGGTCTATCACCACTTGAGCTTTGTCAGCTCTGCCCCAACTTCATTCCTGAGGGAACCCTGGGTGTTCACTGTTTGTGTGTCCCCTGTTACAGCTAGCACTCGACTATGGGATCAAGTTCATGGAGACCAGTGCGAAGGCCAACATCAATGTGGAGAATGTGAGTCCCAGGCTCCAGGGAGACCCCTGCTTGTGGGATCGGTGCTCTGGGGTTTGGGGGGCTTTTCTTTGGGAGGTTCAGCCTGGAGGATCCAGAGGGCCTGTCCCTGGCTCAGGGGCCCCAGTCCAGTGCTGCTGATGGGGCCTGTGCAGTGCCCTTTGTTGGGTACTCTGGACACATGTCACTGGCTGTCAGCAGGTAAGGGGAAGTGAAGCTCTGTCCCAGCCAACCCAGTACATAGGCCCAGCTGCACTCACCTCAGCCACACTGCTAATGGACAGCCCCAGTAGGGAGCCAGGTCTCAGTGCTGTGCCCTGATCCTCATGCTCTCTCCACGGCAGCTGGCCCTCAACTCCACATAGCCCTAATGACATTCAAAAACAGACACCTATAGTCCCAGCTCTCAGGAGGCTGAGACAGGAGGATTACTGGGGCCAGCCTGGGCTAACACAGCAAGACTGTATAAGAAAATAAAATCATCCATATCACCCCATAAGGTACCCAGAGGACAGTGGACCTTGACCCCTCAATGACCTTCACCCTCACTCCTCCCATAAGCCACCTGGGTGAGCCCACCCTTCCCAGCCTTCACTGCATCCCTTCCCTTTTCCTGCCATCAGATTCTTTTCCTGTCTAGCCCTACCACCCAGGGCAACGCCTTCATGCCTTCTTCCCTGGCATCACCTCCCAGGTTGCCAACCCTGCATAGAAAACCTAAATCCAACCTGCCTCTGTGTGTTCTGTCTACATGGCAGTGGGCAGGCAGACTGGCTTTTGTAGGTATTTTTCAAGAGAGGAGGAGGCAGTATTTTGGTGAAGGCAGGAGAAACAGGAGTTTGAAGCCAGCCTGGGCTATGAGAGAACCTCTCTAAAATAAAAGGGAGGGGGTTGGCATGGACAGACACAGCCAGGGGTAGCTACTCCTTCCAGGCCCTCCAGACCCTTCCAAACCAGTTAACCACTCAGAACCTTTGAGCAAATCACATGGTCTCCTATGGGCCTCTGTCAAGGGCCAACTGAGGAGAGGTGGCCACACAGCAGGCCTCTGTCCCCAGGGTGCTCTACAGAGGGTGACAGATAGGGGCCTAGTTGGAGACAGGAGGAAGTGCTAACTGGAATGTGTCCCTTACTGCCTGCCCATTACATCCAACCACTAGAGGGCTCTGACAGCCTGCTCTTTCCACAGGCATTTTTCACTCTTGCCAGGGATATCAAAGCAAAAATGGACAAAAAATTGGTGAGTCTGAGTCCTTCCTAAATCTCGATGTGGGGTTCTGTAGAATACAACTATCATCACTACCCAACCCAGGTCTACCATCCTACCCTGTGTGTCTGTGTGTGTGCATGCATGTGAGTGTACATGTATGTGTACATGACAGCCAGAAGTCAGTATCAGGTTGTCAGGTATCTTCATTCAATAGGAATTGTCTTAGATTTTGAGACAGGGTCTCTCACTGAACCTTGCTGGTTAGGTTGAGCTAGCTAGACAGTGAGCCTCAGGACCCTCCTGACTTGTTTTGTTGTTGTTTTATTTATTTTTTTTTTATGTGTTTGGTGTTTTGCATGCATGAATGTGTATGCACTATGTCTGAATACCATGTACTTGTCTAGTGTCCTCAGAGACCAGAAGAGGGCATGAGCTCTCCTGGATCTGAAATTACAGACAGTTATGAGACAGTGTAAGTACTGAAATTGAACCCAGGTCCTCTGAAAGAGCAGCCAGTGTTCTTAATTGTTGAGCCATCATTCCTATGCCTATTTATTTATTTAATTTTTGAGACAAAAGTTTTTGTGGCTGGTATCAATGGTAGATGAGTGGGAAGGGTGATGGGTGTGTACTTGAGTGGTTAATAGGGAATAGTTGAATGGCAGGGACGGATGGGTGGCTACTGGGTGATTGGCTCTGGGGTGATGGATGTCAGAGTGGTTAATTGGACAGTGGGGGGCAGATGGACTGAATGACTGACAGCTGAATGCAGGTAGCAAGTGGTGCTCACAGCCCACAGTAAGTAACAAGGCACACTTGTGACTTCAGGAAGGGAACAGCCCACAGGGGAGCAGCCATGGGGTCAAGATCACAGTGGAGCAGCAGAAGAGGACCAGCTTCTTCCGGTGCAGCCTCCTGTGAGGACAAGGTCACCGCTACCCTGAGCCTGGCTCAGCCCAGCTGACTGTGCCTGCCCCGGGCGAGCCTCCACCTCCGCTGCTTGGATACAGCCACCCGGACACAATTGAGAAATTGATTATTTTAGTAACCGTCTGATCTTTTCCACCTTCAGGGATGGAACAAGTTAGAATTTTGCTGTTTTTCCTGTGTCATCTGCCAGTCAGGCCTATCCATCCCTTGTCATATTGCCACAGATGGAGAGAGGTGGGGTGGGGGCATTTCAACACCATCTCCAGCCTTCTGTCCCTGCTCCTCCACCACAGAAGTGAGGCCAGCAGCGGTGCCCAACCTGCCTGGCCCTATACCCTGAGCACCGCCACAAGAGCCACTACAGGCCAAGCCTGACACCTGCCTTCACCTGTCAGTTTTGGACAAGTGACAAAGAACCATGTCCCCTGTCTCCTTACATGTCAAACCAAAGGGAAGCACAAACTAAGGAAAATCCATGTAGAGGATTTTGGAAGAAGCGGATGGCTCTCATGGCCACAGCAGGATGGGAGTCTGTGTCCAGCACTGAGGGGACACTGTACCCCCAGCAGGCGACTCCACCATCTCCACCACTCACCCATGACCAGTCACTGGACCACCTGCCTCAATGGCACCAAAACCACCTCCCTGCTCTTCTCATCCTCTGGCTGGCTCCAATCGGACGTTCCTTTTCTAGCTGAGATGATTTTTTATTTTTCCAGATTCCTAACACCATGAAATGATTCCGTCTTTGATTTTCTAGCAGCATACCCAGGTGGTCAGGAGCCAGCGTGATTGTCCTGGCCCGACGGGGGCACCTGGTCCCTGAGACCCCGACAGGCATTCCATGGCACAGTGCCGTCCTGCAGTCTGGTGGGCTGTCGCTGTCTTTACCCACCTGTATTTTGACAGTTCTGTTCTCCCGGAGAGACTGATTGGGACCAGACATCCTGGCGGGAGGGGTGGGGTGTTGCCTGGGAGCCCCTTCCTTTTTACTCTTAACCCTTCCCCATGCTGCTGTCAGTCCAAGCTGTCAGCATCAAAATCTCCCTTTTTTGAAATTAAAACCAACATACCAGCAATAGCCACCTTCCCCTGGAGTGTCTAACATTTCCCATTTACACTGATCAATACACTCGAAAACAGATTCAAGTGCATTTGAAAAGAAGCACCCACCAGGTTGTTGTGTTTAGTGCCAGGTTCAATGGATGACATTTAGTTAAAGTGGACCCGGCCTGGAGAGATGGCTCAGCAGCTGAATACTTGCAGCTCTCCCAAAGGAGCCACCAGCCATCCATTACTCCTCAGCTAGGGGTGGGACTTCACAAGCCCCTCCCCATCCATGTGGTCCTGTGCAGGCCTTGTGAGTGCAGTCACAGCAACCATCTTGTTTGGCAAATATTGTTTGGCTACAGACCTCTTCCCCTCTGGCTCTCACTGCCTGCTTGCTACCTGGGAAGCACTCCACACTCCCCAAAAACCTTGCCTCTAAAAAGTCCACCACCTCTTATGTTCACAGAGCCAAACTTCCAGCACACAGCCTTCCTAGCCACAAGCTCTAGCCAAACTATAGCACACTCTCAGCTAAGATGACTCACTATTTAAAAAAAAAAAAAAAAAAGTCAGCTAATGAAGCCAGACTCAGTGCAGCATTTGGAAGGCAGAGTGGGCGCATCTCTGAGTTTGAGACCAGGCTGGTCTACAGAGAGTTCCAGGGCAGCTATAGACTATACAGAGAAACTGTCAGGAGGTTGAGGGGAGTTAATAGGGTGAGCAAAGGAGCACAAGAGAAAGTGGGCAGAAGCTTGCAGAAATCTGCCAAAGTAATCACATATCACATGCTAAACCCCTCATAAACAGACTGCCAGTGTGTGAAGGAGCCATCTGATGTTACTGTCTGCACCCAGGTTTCCATGGAGCAATCATGGAGACTCCTCCTCCCAGTGAACATGTGCTTGCTTAGCACAGACCTTAGCGTGTGTGCAGATGGCTAGTACCACACTGAGCCACCCAGATAAGGGTTTGTTTGGACTTGCGTTTTGTGGTTTTTTGATCAAGGATCATTATGAAGTCCAGGCTGCTCTGGAACTCGTAGCAGTCCTGTTGCAGTCTCTGGGTGCCGGGATGACTGGCAATCTTCACCAAACCCTGCTGGCTGTGTTCTGAACCCTTACTGTGTGTGGACAAAAGGAAGCTGCCTTACCATGTGTGCCACGGAGGGACCCCAACTCCCTCTCACAGGACAGTGGGAAGAGTCAGGAAGATGGGGTTGGGGCTGGAGAGAAGAGGTGAGCAGTGGCTACAAAGGCACACTAAGATCCTGCAGGGGTGAAGAGATGCTGCCGTGGTTAAGAGCACATGTTGCTCTTGCAGAGGACTGATAAATCAGTGCTGTAACACAAGGCACACACATACATGGTACACAGACACACCTGCTGGCCAAACAACCATACATATAACACCCTATATGCATCATAAGGGATATCCCTGTAGCATTATTTGGCCCTCAGAAGGACATCTGGTCCTGTCAAGCACATGTGTAGTCTGGGTTCCACAATAGTTTCACAGAGCAGGATTCAAGGCTGAGGTTCATTACGAAGAGTCTTCAAGAAATAATAATGGCATGTGTCTTTTCAGTATAACAAGGGTAATAATGGCAAAAATATCCAAGATAAAAAGCATTAAGGAACAGAGCATGGGAGTTGGCAGGTCTTCCCCAGCCTTGGAGAAAAGAACAGGAGGGAGAGGGTGTGAAGCCAGGTTGGGAGGGCTTTTTAATTTTATTTTTCTATGTTTGAGTGTTTTGCCTGAACCACATTCATGCCTGGTGCCCATGGAAGCCAGAAGATACATGGAATTCCTTGGAGCCAGAGTTACAAGTGAGCCACCTTGTGGGTGCTGGGAACCAAATCTTGTCACTCAAGCAAGGGCAGCTAGTGCTCCTAAACACTGAGTTGTCTCTCCAGTCCTTGGGCAGATGTTTTTTGTTTTTGTTTTTTGTTTGTTTGTTTGTTTTAACACAATCATAGACTTAAAATATCCTCCCCAAAGTCAAGTTTAGAGCATGTTTTATCACCAAGTCCTCGTGAGTAGGCACTACTTCCTGTTGTCTCCCTTGGTGAGTTGCCCCTGGCAGCCTGCCATATGCTCCTGTCTGTGGATTTGCCTGCTCTGGCTGTATGCCAGTTGTCATGACACTCACTCTTTTGTGCCTGACCCGTATTGTTCTGGTGTTTGGTTTTGTTGACACGAAGTCTCGTGTAGCGCTAGCAGACCTGTTTTTGATATGTAGACCAGGCTGGCCTGAACTAACTGAGATCTACCTTCCTCTGCTTCCCGAAGGCTGCCATTCAAAGCAAGGATCCTCACATCCAGCAGCAAGTTACTAGTTTATAGCCTGGGGCAGAACTTCCTGCATTTTCATGGTTGAGTAATATTCCAGTGTGTAATACCATGTTTTGAGTGTGTCTTCTAAGGTTCCTGGGCTCACAGCTCAAGCCCAGTGTAGTAGTAGAAATTATTTTTTTAAACTTAATTTTTTTTTTTTTTCTGTGTTCAGAGGACAGCTTGCAGGAGCAATCACTTTGTGATTCCTGGGGACCAAACTCAAGACATCATGCTTGGCAGCTAGTCCATTTACCCCCTGAGCCAGTATGGCCCAGACTGGCCCAGATCTAGCCTTCTTCCTGCCACAGCCTCTCCGTGCTGGGATGAGAGGCATGCTATCATTTCTTTTGTTTTGGCCTTGACATCCAGTATGATACCTGCACAGAGCTTAAGGCCAACTAGTGTTTGTGAAATGAACAAAAGAATAAGAGAATGAACAAAGGAAAGAGTAGAAGCAGATGCCCTTGGCAGACAGAAGTATAAAATGGCGGCTCTGTCCCTTTCCTACCCACCCCTGCCCCCAGAGTTTGTGGCCCAAGCTGATGCGGTTCAGCTGCAGCTACCTACCCTGAGGATTGTCGACTGGAGCTCACCCTATGAGGTCAATAAAAGAAGCTGACCTCTCCCCATTATTTTCCATCAGGCAACCCTGTTTACACTGCCTTGGTGGCCACAACTGCCCCCTTCCTTCCTTTGGGTGCTGTGTCCGTTTGTGAACCACAGACATGGGGGGGGGGTAGGGGAATTCTACTTTGACTGCTGACAGGAAGATGTTATCCTGTGGACGACCGCAGCCCACGAGCATAGCCAAACAGCTCGTGTTCTCTGAGACTGAGCCCCATGCACAAGAGAGCCCCAAAGGCCTGACTGTCCAGGTGACACTGTACTGGTCTGGTACCTCCTGAACTCTTCTGTCCTTCACCACGGAGGCTGGAGACCAGCCCATAGCAAATGTGAAGAGAATCGTAAAGGTCAAGGGAGTTACCTGAAGTTGGCTCAGCACCGAATTATTAAGTCACAATAACAGGCCCCAATGAGCTGACTCAGCCAAGCCCCTGGGCCCTTTGCCTGAGTAGGTCTATTGTGGGACTGACGCTGGTTTCCTTCTCTGTTGGGCCTTTGTCACCTTGGAGACTCCCAAGCCCTGGTCACCTGGGAAAAGCAGGGGATCAGAAAGGCTCCCAGTCCATCCTAGAAGGAATGAACTTCCAGATGCCCTGGAGAGGAGAGAGTGGCTTTGCCACTTGGTGCAGAGCCAAGAGAGGGTGGGACAGGCTGCTCTTAGCTAAGTCAGCTGTGCCTGCTAGACACAGAGACACATCACCGAGGAGGCAGGGTGTGCACAGGAGGCCTACCACCACACGCACGCGTGCACATGCAAGTCCAGCATGGTCTGGGCCTGAATGGAGCTGCGGGTCCTATCCAGTACCAGAGAAAACATGATCACACCCGTAACCCAGCACTCCAGGGGTGGGAGCAAGAGCAGGGCTTTGAAGCAGCCTCCGCTATGCAGTGGGTTCCAATCCAGCCAGGGCTTCATGAGGCCCTGTCTTGGAAAAATGATGGAAATAAAATAGGTTTTTTTTTTTTTTCTTGCTTTGGTTTTGTTTGGGTTTTGAGTTTGAGTCTCACTGTGTAGCCCAGGCTAGCCTGGAACCCCAGATCCTCCTGCCTCAGGCTTCCAAATACTGGGACTACAAACCTGAGTCACATCACACTTTTATATTGGCCTAAAGGGCAACATGACTGAAAAGTGTTATTTCAAGTGTATTTTTGCAAAGGAAGGCAGGATAGAGCTGTGTGTGGCCTGAGGCAAGTGAGACCATGAGTTTGAGGCTACCTTCAGCTTTGTAGTGAGACCTGTTTCAAAGAAGCCAACGGTCCACTAGCCCTGTCTGTTCTTCAAAGTCTCTGTCCAACCTCAGGACTTTTACACTTGCTGCTCCTTGTCTACACACTGTTGCTGTACCACGTACTCACCAACAGGTCTCCTACTTGTCCCCTTTCACTATCTAACTGCCACACCCCCATTTCCTGATGGCCAACTTCTTTAGGGCTGCAATAAGGGTGGGAAATACAGCTCGGTTGGCAGACTGCTTGCCTTGCAAGCATGAAGTTCTGGGCTCCATTACCAGCAATGCATAATCTGGGGGTTCCATGGAGCTGGTAATGAGTTGATACTGAGCAAAGGCTTGGCGGGAGCCAATATCAGCTTCAGATACAGACAAAGCCCTGAGCTTAGTCCCGCCCTAGTTCACCTGCTGGAGGAAACAGGAACCGCCTGGGGCTGCCTGCCCTGCCCCTCTGACGTGCAGACCCTGAAGTGAAACTAAGGCTTCAGCAGCAGCTCAAAGCAACACAGCCCGGGCTCTCTGAGGTATGTAGCCTGCATCTGAAACCTGTATCTGGAATCCTGGCATCCCTGCATCCCAGCATCCCAGCTGTGGAGCCTCTGGGGCTTCAGCACTGGGTGGGGTAGGACTGGGAGATGAGGGAAGGGCTTACCGGAGGAAGGGACCGTTGCAAGCTCTGTCGTGGTTATCCACACCTGTCATTCCAGCACTCTGGTGGGTGAGGCAGGTGAGACCATGAGTTTGAGGCTAGCTTCAGCTTTGTAGCGAGATCTGTTTCAAAGAAACCAACGGTCCGCTAGCCCTGTGTCCTAAGCAACAAGAGTAAGGCAAAGAGGGATAAAGTCCCTCCAGCTCCTTGGGGTCCAGCTGGAGCCAGCAGAGAAAGGAACAATGGGAAGCTCAAGGAGAAGGGAGGGAAGATTGCCAGGGTTTTGTGGGCAGGGGAGGAAGAAAGGCTGGCTGGAGGAAGGGACATTTGCTTTGGGTCTTGAGAGATGTATAGGAGTGTTGTGAGGTAAAAAGAGAGTTCTATGCCAGCTTGTGACTGGGCTCAGCTGTATTTTAGACAGAGGCAGATGTAGAGTCCCGTCATGACGGGATACATTCTGGGAGATGTTGTTGGTAGGTGATTTTGTCACAGTGCATACGTACACAGCCTGGGCAGGGTTGCCTGCTGCACCCTTGGGAGCTGGGACTCCAATCTGCATGAGTACTGTGAGAACTGGAGCACCCTGGTAGGTGCTATGAAGCATGGTGAGTAATAAAATAAGAAAAGGGAAGTAAAAAGGGAAGGGCTGAGGAGGTGGTTCACTAGACAAAGCACTTGGTGTAGGGTCATGAGGACCTGAGTTCAGATCCCCAGAACCCACCTGCAGTCCTGTAGCCTGGCCGGTGATGGGCACCTGCCCTCCTGGCATGTGGGAGGCAGTAGATCCCCAGGGCAGCTGGCTAGTCAGACTCTCCGGCTCTTTCCAAGATCCTGCTTCAATACATAACTGGGTGAAGGAAGAAGACACTTGATGTCAACGTAAGGCCTACACACATCTGCACATGAGAGTGTCCATATACATGGGTGCCCCCCCACTGAAATTTTTTAAATAGCAGAACGAGACTGGAGAGGGGTGGGCAGTTAAGAATGTACAGTTCCACAGAGGATCTGGGTCAGTTCCCAGCACCTGAAATGGGAGGCTTACAACTACCTGTAAATCCATCTCCAGGGATCCAGTGCCACCTCTGGCCTCCAGTGGTACCTGAATATACACGGCTGATAAACATTTGTACACAGACACACATACGCATAAATAAAAATAAAAAACTTTAAAAAAACAAATAAGCAATATAATAAATAAAAAAACAAGTAATAGAAGACTTTCAGCTCCACTATTTTCAAGAGTGTCCTGGAAACTCCTGGCGCTTCTGTCTCCACCGTGAAAGTACTGAGATGGTGGATGTGTGCCACCACATCTGGCCTTTGTTTTAATTCAGGGTCTCCAAGCATAGCCCTGAGTAGCTTTGAGCTTATGGCAGTCCTGCCTCAGCCTCACTGGGACTACAGGTATGTGACAAGAACAGGAGTCACAGGCACGGTATAAACTGGGCTTGGTAGAGCAGGCCTGTTATCCCAGCACTTGGGAAAGGGAGGTGGGAGGATCAGGAGTTCAGGGTTATCCTCAGGTACACTAAGGCCAGGCTGGGCTACACAACTCTGTCTCAAAGAAAGGAAGGGAGGGAGGGAGGGAGGGAAGAAAGAAAGAAAGAAAGAAAGAAAGAAAGAAAGAAAGAAAGAGTTGGGGGATGGGAGTGAGAGAGAACTGGGATCGATATGTAAAACAAGAAAAAATAAAAACAAAAGAGGTTGCCTCTCACCTTCCCATATACATAGATGTGTAAGCAATCTGTATGTGTAATGTATTGACTCTATAGTATTCTGTTCCAGCCATCCCCTTCCAAAGATGTCACTTAACAACAGAAGTTAAAGCCCCAAACGGTTAAGTTTGTGACACACAGCTGTTATGTAGGGTAGAATTTGAACCCAGACAATCTGCCTCTGATTCCAGATGCTTGATGATCCCAGGCCCTCATCCAGGGGAGACCCTGGCTTGGAAGAGACTGTTTACCACCATGGAACCCCTGTTGAGAGAGAGAGGGAATAGGAAATGGGGACAGAGACAGAGGTTATCAAGTGTTCATTAGTGGATTCGGTTAATGACTTTTCTCTGAAGCCTTTGGGCCACACCTGAGGGAATGTGTTTGTTCTCCGGGAAGAATGTCAGCACAGCCACCCTGTATCAACAGACCCTCCCTATGGGATCCATCCACTCAGGTCTGGGAACTGAATGAAGAGTGACTGAGGGGTCTGGGGAGAGCTTTTTGCTTACTTTCCTTCAGTTTTTCATTTCAGGGCCATGTCCCTATGTCACCAGCCCACAAAGCCCTGCAGTACCCTGAGTGTAAATCAAACAACAAGAGTGTGAATTAACAGCTCACTGGAGGAGCTATCACCTAAGGAGGTAGACACACAAGGGTTGGGGGTCCAAGGCCATCCTTGGCTAAATGTTGAGTGCCAGGCTAGCTTGTCTCATAAAACAAACCAAGATCTGGCTTAGCCCATAAAATGCTTCCTGTGTGAGCATGAAGGCCTGAGTTCAAATTTTCATTCCAGCAGGCATGGAGACAACAGAGCAAAACAAAGGCCCAGCTTGGGGTGGAGAGACCCCTGGAATTCTGTGACCTGCCCCAGGTTTAGTGATAGACCCTTTCTCAGAATAGAAGGTGAGGTATGAAGAGATGTTCTGAACCACTCATTGCTCTTTCTAGAGAATCCCAGTTCGGTTCCCAGCACCCAGAGGGAGCAGCTCACAACCACCCATAACTCCAGCTCCAGGAGATCTAATGTCCTCTTCTGGCCTCCAAAGGCACACACACACAAAACAAATTTTTAGAAATGTGTCAGTTTGGCAGGGTGTACTCCTTTAATCCCAACACTCAGGAGGCAGAAGCAGGAGGATCTCTGTGAGTTTGGAAAGAGCCTGATCTACAAAGCCAGTTCCAGAACAGCCAGAGCTATACATAGATAAATCCTGTCTCAAAAAAAAAAATGCCAGTTGAATTGGGCATGATGGGCATGATGGTGCATGCCCTTAGTCCCAGAATTTAGAAGGCAGAGGCAGGTGGGTCTCCATGAGTCAGAGACCAGCCTGGTTTACATAGTTCTAGGGTAGCCAGGGCTATGTAAAGAGAACATGTCTAAAAACAGAACAACAAAATGTCATTTTGGCTGAGGATGGTTCAGCATGCAAGGATGCTTGCTGCCGGGCCTGAAGACCTAAGTGTCAGTCAGGGAGCCACATGGTGGAAGGAGACAACAGACTCCCAGACTGTGTGTGTGTGTGTGTGTTTGTGTGTGTGTGTGTGTGTGTGTGTGTGTGACCCCTCCTTCACACTCAGAGCTAAGCAACAGCCTGTGACACAACAGAAACCAGGAAGCAATTCTATGTTCACAGGAACTGTCCTTGCTCTGGCCACCAGGGGGGCTCCCAGTAGAGGAGGCACCATGGTGTGTAATATTAGAGCCAAGAGATATCCCCCTCTCCCTCCTCTCCACAGGTGACCCCCTTCCCTGGATGCCATGGCAGAAGCTGGGAGGTTGCCCCCACCACTACCCCCTCGGCTGGACTGGTTTGTGCACACCCAGGTGGACCGGCTGGCCCAATATGGGATCCCGGAGTGGTTCCATGGTACCATCTCTAGAGAGTAAGGACATAATGGTAACCCCCATCAGGCCATATTCTGCTTCCTGGTTGATCTCCCCTAACCACAGTGAACATTTGGGAGCACACTCAGGTAGCAAATCCCCTATTCACATAATTCTCAGATTAGCTCCAAGCCCTGGGAAGCTGAGGAACAGATAAGGTTAGACCTGCCTAAGGTCACACGGCAGATGCATAGCACACACAGCTGGGCTCTAGACTCAGTGTATCAGACAGACCATAGCCCCTGCTTTTTCTCTTGGATACTGTGTCCTACCTAAGAGGGTCTCAGACTTGGGACAGGTAGGCAGGGGCTGTGGGAGATAGGAGGAGATCTACTTCAGGGTCAATTCGAGAAGCCTCCAAGTGACGCCTGTTCACAACCCAGGGCTTCAAACCACCAGGAAAGACTGAGTGCTTGCTATTTGTTCACTCAGAGGCTGTGGCTATAGCTCAATTGGTAGAGTGTTTGCAGCTAAGTTGATAGAGTGCTTATAACTTGGTTGGTAGAATGCTTGCCTGGTGTACACAAAGCCCTTACGTCTGTTCCCACTCTGCCTAAACCAGGCCTAATGCAATCCCAGTACTTAGAAGGCAGAAGGTAGAGGATAAGGAATTCAAGGCTATCCTCAGCTTCAAAGCCAGTGTGAGGCCAGGCTGAGCTACTTCATACGGTTTCCCCTCAAAAGGAAAGAAGGGAAACCTGAAAGATCCAGGGCCTGCCCTGGTGTTCCTAGGTCAGGGTCAAATGTTCCCAGGTTCTTGGCTTCCTATGCTAAGGGTTCACATGAATTTGCAAAAGCAGCAAAATTTTCCAATTAGAAGCAAAGCAATAGTGCAGGTTAGAGATGGCTACACTGTTAAGATTGACAGCAAGGGCCAGCAAGATGGCTCAGGGGGTAAAGGTGCTTGTAGCCAAACTTGACAATGCAAGTTCAATTCCTGAGACCCACAAGGCAAAAACAGAAAGCTGGCTCTGTGGACTGTCCTCTGACTTCTGAATGTACCATAGCACATTTGCCTGCCCTTGCTGTCCTTAAATCAGGCTGACCTCTCCTTCTGCCTCCTTAGTGCTAAGACCAAAGGTGTGTGCTCCAAGAGGAGCTTGGTTGCTGAGGGAGTGTACTTGTGCCATTGCATTTTGATCCACAGGTTGAATTATGTAGGTCTTTGCTCACAGCACATGCCTTTACTGTAATATATCTGATTCTAGTCACATGCACGCCCAATTATACAACAGGTGTAAGATGGAAAACGAAGGATTCTCCCCCAAAGCCCTTGAAGGACACTATTTGCCTGAATGCACATGCACACTAGACTAGTTGAGACTGGATCAGAATTTTTCTTTCTTTGTAACAAGATATTTACATTTTATTATATTTTATTTCTTTACTATGTGTGTGGAGGTCAGAGGACAAATTGTGAAAATTGGGTCTCTCCTTCTACCATATGAGAAATTAAATTTGATTGTTTTTAGGGAGGGGGAAACTTATCCCATTCTTTGTTTGTTTGTTTTTTGTTTTTCGAAACAGGGTTTTTCTGTATTGCTTTTGAGTCTGTCCTGGAACTCACTCTGTAGATCAGGCTGGCTTCGAATTCACAGAAATCTGCCTGCCTCTGCCTCCCGAGTGCTGGGATTAAAGGCAAGCGCCACCACTGCCCAGTGGCTTAGCCACTTAATACAGGTAGCCTGATGCACATGGCATCCAAGGTTGCTATGTGCATGGCTCAGATGGGTTAGGGGTTACATGCACACAGAGAACATACAGGTAAGAGAGCTAAACTGCCAAGGGCAATACTGTAAGTGCCCTGTGCATAACCAAGTCAAATGGAACTCCAGGTTGCTAAGCCATCCCTATACTTGCTTGTTTGCTTCCATATCCAGCCAGTCTCCTTTCTCCCTGTCTCTCTAGAGTTGCTGAGAACCTGCTGGAGTCACAACCCCTGGGGGCATTTCTTATCCGAGTCAGCCACAGCCATGTGGGCTACACCCTTTCCTACAAGTAAGGCCATGGGGGAGGTTAGGCCCAGGCTTCAGGGACAGGGCACCATGGGGGAAATTAGATAGACTAAGGCTTCTGGGAGATGGCCAAGGTCACCTCATGCATCAGGAGTCTGCCCAGTCTGCAGGCTTGGCTGTATCCAGCAGTCGTGGAAAACTGGGGCAGACAGGGATCTGAGAGTGGCCCTGCCTCCTTGCATCCTTCACCTTCAAATTAGTGACATGAGTCTGGATCAGGAAGCCAGGGCCGCAAGCTCCTGGGGCCTCAAAGCCTGACTTTGGCATCTTAGAGCATTAGGGAAAGCAAGCCAGCCTGCCTTCCTCCCTCCCTCCCTCCCTTCCTGTCTGATAAGTATTTTGAAATCCTCGGTTGTGGGTTTCTCTGCCAATGCAATAAGCCAAATCCAGCCAAATTAATAAGACAGAGCAAAGCAACTCCGGGGTGACTCTCCGGGAAGCAGGAAACAAATCATATGGCCCAGCTAGGGATCAGGTCTTATATACCTTGTAGGCATAGCTTGAACATCTAAGGGGTTGGAGCCACTGCTTGGCTGGGTTTCTCAAAGGGGGCAGGATTTGGAGAGAGTGGGGGAGCTGAGGCAGAACTTCCATATAAACACCCTATTCTTTCTGTCTTCCTATTTGGGAGAGGGTTTCTTAGCCAGGCTGGCCTTGATCTGATTATGTAGTGTGGGGGGTGCCTATCTGTTAACCCAGTAAGGGGGGGCGGTGGCTGAGACAGGAGGATCTGGAATTCAAGGCTACATAGTAAGTTTAAGTGTAGCCTGAACTACATGAGATTGTATCTTTAAAATGAAAAGATTTTGCTACTACTATTTGGTTGAGACAGTCTTACTATGTAGCCCAGGCTGGCCTCCAAATCTCCATCCTCTTGCCCTCAGTCTCCCCAGCGCAGGGATGGCAGGCAGGCACCGCAATTGTCTTATCTCATCCACCCAAGAACTCCTGAGGTGGACCTTAGAAACCCTGTGTGGTAACTGGGGAAACCAAGGCACAGTGGCTGCATCCCAATACCAGCAGTGTCTCCACAGAGCCCAGACCTGCTGCCGTCACTTCATGGTGAAACTCACAGATGATGGAACTTTCATTCTTGCTGGGGATCATGTGACCCACGCTTCTCTGGACGCCCTGGTCACTTTCCACCAGGAGAGACCCATTCGTCCATATGGAGAGCTACTGACCCAAGCCTGCGGGCAGGTGGGGGCAAGCGGACACCAGCAGCCGACTAGGGAGTGCCAGAGGCACCCTGCAAGGAATTCACGGGGGTTCATGGGCACAAATGGCTTTCCTCGGAGGCTGATGGGCGTGGCCTAAGATCTGCAGTGGTTGGAGCTCTTTCAACCATCTGAGACTTGTGGATGGGGCTCTGTGGGGGTGTGGCCTGGTTTCTGAGATTGCCCCACCACCCATGTTCTCCCCATCCCAGTCTTTCTCACTGCTAGGTCTGAGCCCTGGGTCTCTTCCATACCTTGCAGAAGGATCCAGCAAACGTGGACTACGACGATCTCTTCCTGTACTCTAATGCCCTGGTCCAGGATGCTGAAAGCCGCGGGTCCACGGAAATTCAGAGGCCTTCTTCCTGCCCACCAGAGGAGGTAGGCCACAGGTGGTGCATCCAGCCTGGGTTGGGAAAAGATGCTAGAGCAGGCCCTTCTGTAGCTAAGTAATTAATTTCCGAGTGATTTTCAGACTCTGGAATCAGACTCCATGTTGCATTCTTGGGTTGTATGTTGTTTGGGGGTAGAGAGATTGTCAGGGGTGGCTGCAATTTCAGGTCCTCCCCCTCAGCTTCCACTTATGTTCAGACGGACCCATCAGCCACCCTGAGAACCCTTTGTCTGGCAGTCCCCTCCACAGGACCATGCACTTGCCTGGTTAATTCTTCTTTTAGAAGTCATTCAAGTGTCTCCTCCATCTAAAGTTTCCCCACACATGTAACCCTGTGTGGTCATTGCAGAGAACATCTTCCAACTTGGAGGCTTTTGTTTATTCTGGGTGTGCATGTATCCTTTCTGTTTCTCTTATCAAACCTCAAAGTCCAAATGGCTCCTTCTGCACGGCTGTCCCCACCCTGCCAAGAGAAAGGGTTTCTGTTGAGACAAGGTTTCTCTATGTAGCTCTGGCTGGCCTGAACTCCCTATGCAGTCCAGGCTGGCTTCAAACTCACAGAGATCCTCCTACCTCGGCCTTCTGAGTGTTGGGATTAAAGGTGCGCACCAGCAGGCCTCAAGGAGCCCACCCAGGACCTGGCCATTTGAAGGAGTTAGGCTAATGAATCTTTAGTGTAGACAGGAATACATGGCTGAGCAGTGGAGAAGCCACACGGAGAGATGGGCAGGGTGGGGCTTGGGTGCTCCAGCGCTCTGGGACGAGGTTGTGGGGCTGCCTAGAGTTTTACTGGTCATCCAGGCCCCAGGCCTCCCCTGGTCTGTTCCTGGTTCTCTGCTCCAGAACCCTGAAAGGATCCCTTCTGCAGCAACTGGCAGAAAGCTTGCGCCAGCCCCCTGCTCCCCAAAGGCACTGTTTGGGGAGGCAGGACAGAGGCTGAGGAAGAACCTGAGGACGCTGCCAGAGACCAGCCGGAGGCTGAAACAGCGGCTCACCTCACACCTGTCCGCCACAAACCTGCAGGGAGACACCAGGCGTGAGGTGCATCATCATAGCCCCGTGACTCGAGCATCCAGCTGGGACAGTGCTTGCCACTCTTCGGACCCTGGTGCAGCCACCTCTCTCCAAAACCATTCAGAGCCCCAGGCCTGGAGAGGCAGAGAATCCACCTTCACAGCCTCCAGGCCTACCAGCTGGAAGGACACAGTCTCGGCCTGGGGTGGAAAGCTGGTGAGGGCCCTGTCTGTGCAGGCAACCACGCCAGAGCCTGCAGACTTGCCAGAAGCCCAGGACTGGCTACCTGAGGAATATCTCCGACCACCACCTTTTGCCCCTGGGTACTGATAGCACCCCCTCTATCTTGGGTACCTATCTCTTTTCCAGTCCCTGCCCCTGCCCCTGCCCTCACAACCAGAGAACTGTGCTAAAGGGGTTATAGGGCTGAATTCTGTAGTTGCCAGCAGAGAGACCTGATTGTTCTAACAATAATACAATTACCACTTTAGGGACTCTAATGAGATGACCCATTGGTAAGGAAGTAAAGGGCTTGCAGGAAAGCCTGACTACCTGAGTTCAATCCCTGGTACTCACATGACAGAGGGGAAGACCCAACTCCTGAAAGTTGTCCTCCAACCTCCACATACATGCATACATGTGTACACACACACACACACACATACACGGTGGACACAATACATGCCAGGCCTATATCACAACCTCTCTGATCATGAGGTAGCCTTCTATATCCATGGGATCCATATTTCACATTCAGCCACATTAGCCTACTTAATGAATTCCAGACTGTTGTTTAAAAAATGGTAGGTGAGAGAGCCGCCATCAATCGGCAGAGCTCATGTGGAGACTTTTCTTATTGGAGGAAGAGAATGGGAAAGGGGGGAGGGGATAAAGGAGGCAGGAAGGGGGATAGGAATGGCTATAGAGAGGAAAGGGGAGGAATGGGGCTGGACAAGAAAGGGAAAAAGATGGGAACACAGGGAATGCACACAGGAGGTCTCTTAGTGGCTGCAGCTGAGGATGTATCCTGTCAGGACTCCAAGGGCAGGCCAGCACTGATGTCTGAATACCAACACAGACCAGTGTTAAAAGAAATCTGAGCAGTCAAGATGGCTCCAGTAAATGTTCTTGCTGCTAAGCTTGAGGATCTGAGTTTGAGTCCCAGGACCCATGGTGGAAGGAGATATCTGACTCCTACAAGCTGTCTTCTGACCCACACCTGCACAAGAGCACACATATGCACACGAATGCCCCCCCCCAAAAAAATCCACAGAGGTGAGGCTTGGCAGTGGCCTCTGAAAGGTTTCCTACATTAAAGCGCTGTGTGGCTGTGTGATGGTTGATCAACATAGGCCTCTCTGGGCACATTTCTTCACTTGGAAGATGAGGAGATAGCAGTCCGTTCTCAGGAGCAACATACAGAAAAGGGGCAGGGAGGCCCTGGAGCTTCTTCTGCTCGTCATCATCACTATTGATTGAGACAGGGTCTCATTATGTATCCCTGGCTGTGCCAGAACTGGCAGAGATCCGCTTGCTTCTGCTTCCTCAGTACAAAGATTAAAGGTGTGCCCACCAGGTCTTCCTATTTTCATTTTTATTATTTTTGTTTTATTTGAAATAAAGTCTCTCTGTGTAGGTCTGGCTGTCCTGGAACTCACTATGTAGACCAGGCTAGCCTTGAACTCACAGAGATCTACCTGCCTCTGCACGTGTTGGGATTAATGGTGTGCACCACCACCAACGGGCTAGAATTATTTTCATTTTTAAATGTGCTTGTGGGTGGGTGTGTGTACATAAGTGCAGTTGCCCATACAGGCCAGAAGGTGGCATCAGGTCTGCTGAGATGGGAGGTTCAGGCAGTTGAGAGTCACTATCAAGTAGCTGCTGGAACACAACCCAAGGACCAAGTCCTTTGCAAGAGCAGCAGGTGCTATTCATAGCTGAGCCATCTCTCCAGTCCCAGAACCTAGTGCTTTTAGTCACCAGGTGACTGGTCTGGGAAGTTTCTGGGTGGCAGGACTGTCTGGTGGGATAACCACCAAGTGGGCAGGAGGGTACCCTACCCAAAGGCCCTGGGACAACCTTGGGCTCCTGGAATTCACAAAACATGGGAAAGGAGCTATGTGTGGCATTGGTCTTTCTCCATATGCTGTGAAGTTCCTGACCCTCTAGACCTGGAGGTCTAGAAGTCAGTTATATGAATGGAAGATGGCAATCCAGAGTGGGTGTGGCCACACCCAAGGCCATGCATCAAAAAGCAAAGATCCTGAGGCGGGTTTGATTCCTGTTTATTTAGAGAGGTCAGAGTGGAGATGGGTGAGGGTTAGGCCATGTCCTCCGAGCTCTGTCAGACGCGGATGTGGAAGGTGCTGTGTGCAAAAAACAGTCATCACTGACAACTCACAAATAGACACTGGGTCCCCAACATTCCCTCTTCTGGACCCAGAAGCAAGTAGAAATCTGCAGGGATATGGACACCCTAGCAATCACAGACAGTAAGGAGTTCTCCTGCCTCCATGGGACTTAGGCTAGAAGTCAACACCAGGGGTCTCTACTCAGGTGGCTTCCACATTATGTTTTTAAAATATTTACGTATTTACCTATTTATTTGTGAGTGCACCTAGGTATGGGTATATGCAGAATATTACATGCAGGAGCCTGCAGAAGCCAGAAGAGAGTGTCAGATCCCCTGGAACTGAAGTCACAAACAGTTGTGAGCCACCATGTGGGTGCTGGGAACAGAAACCAAGTCTTCGGTGTGAGCAGCAATCACCCTTAATCACTAAGCCCTGTCACCAGCCCCCAGAACTGTCTTTAATTTGGTTAGTTTTGGGTTTTGAAGACCTTGGCTCATTATGTAGTTCAGGCAGCCCTGCAATTCCTAGTAATCCTTCTGCCTCAGACTTCTGGGTGCTTCACCTGCAGGTATGTGCACTACCATGCCCAGATAGATTTCCATGGGAGTCCTAAGCACCTGTCTGGATCAGCACTCACATCCCAGCTCCTTCCCAGACTTGCTGTCAACCTTCTTTGAGCTTCAGTTTATTCCTCTGACAAACAGAAGTGCTTAGGCTTAAAGTGATAGAATTCAAGCCCTGTCTGGTCTACTTAGAGAGTTCCAGGCCAGCCAAACTTGTAGTGATATCTTGTTTATACTCTAACAAATAAAGGTTACCTGAAGATCAGAGGGTAGAGCTAGCCATGAGTTAGCCACAGAGACAGACAGGAAGTGATATGGCTGGGCAGAGAGGGGAAGTGATAAGGCCGGAGGAGACAGGAGTTTGGTCTCTTTTCAGTCTGAGGATTTCCTGGAGGTAAGAGCTCTAGTGGCTGCTCTGCTTCTCTGATCTTTCAGCTTTCACCCCCTAATATCTGACTCTGGGTCTTTTATTATCAAGACCTATTAGAACTCGGGCTACAAATTTTCACCTAACTTTAAGGCATGAATTTATGAAAAAGCCACTTGCTTGTGGCTTTGCAGCACCAGCACAGCCGGGAACCTCATGTGGAGCTCCTGCTGGCATCACCCCCCCAGCTGGCAAGGTTCTTCTCTCTTTTTTTCCTAAACCTCTAATTGAGAACTCCACAGGCACCAAACTCCAGAGTATTTACCCACCCTAGACCGGCTGGCTCTGCCTTCAGGCAGCTCCTACCACACTAGCTTCTTCTACACGATCCTATGTATATCCTTCAGGCAGCCGGGTCCCTGCCGGTTTCCCTAAGGTGCCCTATCCTCGAGCTGCCACTCTCTGCTCACAGCTACATGCTAGCAGCTGCAGTTGTCCTCAGTCAGGCTGCTCACTGCCTGTGTTCTCTGCTCAGATGTGCTATGCCTCACAGTTCACTGTCATTGTCAGAAGATTTGGTCAGACAATTGGGAATTCTTAAAGGGGGGAGTCGTTAAAAGAGAGCTTTTTCTTTTTTTCTTTTTACATATCGATCCCAGTTCCCTCTCCCTCCCTCCCTCCCTGAGAGAGTTTTTTTCTAACATTAAAAAATAGGAAACACCATACAATGGAGGGATTTAGGTCTCTGTATAATAATACCCTGGACAGTTTGAAAATGGAACAATTAAATGAGAGGATAACTAATTCAGATGGGATTAATATAATGTCAATTATAAACATTATCAGTTTTACCATCTTTGTCTTATCACTAAAAAAGTTGATTAGTTAGTATGTGTGCTAAGACATAAGGTTTAAAAAAATTAATAAAATAGGTCAAAGAGATATTCAGATCCAGACTGAGGAATTTAATGGAGAACCAATTTAAGTTTTATATTATAAGGTTACAGAGTGTGGAGAACCACAGAGCAAAGTTAGCATCTTAACAGCCATCTTTCCTACTACTCTCTTAGATACTAACATACTGGTAATTTTCCATTCCCCTTTGACTATTTTCCTGTTAAGCATATGATGCAGCCTGACCCTGAAAGAGTCCCAGCTGCAGGCTTATCACATAGCAACTTATCTTATAGCAGGACACCTGCATCCTGCTTGTAAGGACATTCTGCCTCCCTCACATCCTCCCTTTGGCCCATTCCCTCATTTCTCCACTACTTAAACCCTGTGGTTATATTCATTAAATGAGACTTGATCAGAACACTGTCTTGTCTCCGTCTCTCTCATCTCTTGTCCCCTCATTCTCACTCCCTCCCTCAGGGCCCCCGTCGACTGATCCCGTGGGCCGGGGCAATAGAGAAACAGCCTAAGGTTTTCAAACAGCCAACATTAATTTATCCAGTCACCTTACAGCAACTTCCAAATGACAGATATCCCCAAGACTGTGCAAGAGTTAAGTGGGCTCCTGTAGAAACGTTAGGGTTAAGGAGGTTCAAGGACGTGATAGTCTTATATGGCATGTGTTCACCTTTTGGGAACCAGATGTTAAACTCAGGGCCAACTTGTAATAGAATTATCCCTCAAGACTGGAGAGAATTGGTTACAACAGTCTTGGAGCCTGTCCTCTGTTAAAATGGAGGACCTGGTGGAAAGATGAGGCTAAGACCATTGAACAATGAAGTAGGGCTAGAGGTATGGAAATCTACCAAGACCGACTTCTTGGAGAGGGAGATTATGCTGATGTACAAAGGCAATCTCTTTATGATGACTACATCCTAGATTTATGCCACACAGCAGCTTTTAATGCTTGAGACAGAATTGGAGAAGAAGAAAAGAAAATTGAGCCTTCTTACAAAGACTGACTTCAGCAGTAAATAGAATGATACCAGCTAGACAAATAACAATTGAATCTCTGTCTTTTGAGAATGCTAATGCATAATGAAAATGGGTATGTAGGCCATTAAAGGCAAGATCAGCACCCATAGAGGAATGGATCTGAGATACAGTCAATATTGAAACTCATGACCATGATGATGCTTGGATAGGAGAGGTGATTTCCAGAGGTTTGAAGAAAAATCAAAATTTCAAGTGTTTCAATTGTGGCAAATAAGGTCACCTTAAAAGGGATTATAGGCAGGGTGTTCCTAGTAACAATGTTTTTTTCTAAGCATAATTTAAACAGAATCCTCTCCCTTCTGGATTATGCAGAAAGTGTTCCAAAGGCAGGCATTGGACAAATAAATGTGGGTCAACAAGGGATAGTCAAGGTAACTTTTTGTCTTCAGGAAAGGCTGTGAGGGGCCTCTTGCAGGCTCCTATGCCAAACTCAGTTTCATGTAAACATAGAGGAAACTCTTTCCTAGAGCAATTAAAGAACCTAATGCCTATTACAAGAAATAATGCTTCTCTGGATGATAGAAAAGCTATAGAGCAGAGAACAAAAAATTCAGAAGAAATCATGAGGCAAATATTTTGGCAAACTTCTATAAATGAACAAAGACAAAAATTAAAAATACAAATAAATGGGATAGTCATG